GCCCCTTTGCCCCAAGAACCAGGCTGAGCTGGTCTCTGGCGGCTCCACAGGCGGTCACGCAGCGGGCCCGCACCCTGGCCCTGGAGGGTGAGCGGCTCATTGAGCTGAAGCACTACGCCGTGGACTCCATCCGCCCCAAGTGCCACGAGCTCCGCCAGCTGTGTGACCAGTTTGCAGCTGACGTCGGGCGGAGGAGAGGGCTGCTGGGCAGGGCGCTGGATCTGCACGGCCTCCTCGAGGCGGTAGGCCCCCCATCCCGGCCCACACACCCCGCGCCCCGCGGTCCTGCGGGGACGCTCCTGCCGTGGGCTGGGCCCCAGGCACCGGTGAAAAACGGCCCTTTCCTGTGGCCCAGAAGGTCCCGTCCTGACACGGAAGCGTTTATAGGACTTGCCTGCCACAACTGGCCGTTTCTTTAAGAAACCCGGAGGCTGACTGTCCAGCCAGTTCCCTGCACTTGGTCCTCAGTGTGGGTGCGTCCCGTCCCGGGCGAGTCACTTGGTTTCAGGCCTGCGTCCCCCAGGGGAGCCCTCTGGACGTAGGGGCAGGACAGGGACGCTACGTCCTGCAGGTGGTCCCAAAGCACAGCGGTCAGCGGGCCACGGGAGACGCCAGGACAGCTTCCAAGGTGCCTTGTCTCCCTCCAGTCCATGAAGTGGTGTGACGAGGGCATCTACCTGCTGGCCTCGCAGCCGGTGGACAAGTGCCAGGCCCAGGACGGCGCCGAGGCGGCCCTCCAGGAGGTCGAGAAGTTTCTGGAGACGCGTGCGGAAAACAAGATCCAGGAGCTCAGTAAAATCTACCAGGACTACGAACCCATCCTCACCCGAGACCTGTTGGTGAGGAGACAGCCTCTCACCTGTTCGACGACGGGTTACTCTGATGATGCCCAGAGACACCGGGCGATCGGGGGGCGGAGAGCAGAGGGTGCCTTTCGGGCCGGACGTCGCTCCCGGGCCCCCCACGCCCCTACGGGGTCCCCGCCTGTGGGGAGGGCCCTTGCTCGGTGCCGACAGTGTGCCGAAACCGGACTCCTCACTCCGGCCGGCTGTCTGCACCACCCCGCAGGCTGCTCGCTGGGCTCCAGGCCCGGGGCCCCTCCCCCCTCGGTGCCCCCCACCTGCCAAGGGCAGCGCGGGGGCCACGTGCGTCATGGCAGCTCTCGGGAGGTATCCTGATGAGCCCGTCACCCCCTTCCCTGCAGGAGCACGTGCAGAAGGTCTTCCGGAAGCAGGAGAGTGTGGAGGAGATGTTTCACCGGAGACAGGCGAGCCTCAAGAAGCTGGCTGCCAAGCAGACGCGGCCCGTGCAGCCAGTGGCCCCCCGGCCAGAGGCACCCGCGAAATCGCCCTGCCCCTCCCCGGGTACGGGCAGTCGCCCCTTCCCCTGGGCAAGGCCCTCCTTCCACCCAGCCCATTGCGTAAATAATAAAGTGTCATCGGCCCTCGGCCTGCTCATTCCTTTGCTCGCATCCGTGCCACTCGCCGTTGCTGTGGCTGGACGGGGACCGCCTGACTGTCGGGGCCTTTCCTGGGCTCATCCCACCCGTCTGTCCTTGGCGCCGTAGCCGGGATGGTCTTCCCCTCGTGCAGCTCGGCCCTCCACCCCGAAGCCTCCTGGTTCCCCAGTGCAGCGCTTCTGGAAGGCACAGCTGGATGCGAGGCCTTTCCTAAGGCCCCTCCCATCACCTCCTGTCGGCAGACATGCTGCTCCAGCTGCCAGCACGGCTCCCGCTGCTTTTCTACAGCTGTGGCTGGTGTGGGCCGTCGGCGCTGAGAGCCCCTGAGCCTGGCGCGCGGGGCCCATTCGGAGGCCTCCAGGCGCCGAGTTCTCCCCCGTCACCTGGGAGCCGGGCCGCACTGGGAAGTGGTGGACGGTGGGCTCCCCACGCACCCGGAGCCCCGTTTCCTTGCTCTGTACCTGACTGTGCTTTCCCCACCCTGCTCTGGGCTGCTCGCTGCTTTTCCTCCAAAAGTTAAAAAGACACACACAAGAGCACACCGACGGCCCTGGATGAGCTTTTCACCTCCAGGCAGTAGGGTGCGAGGTCCCACTCCTGTCTACTTCTTTCCAACCCAGGCATCCGGAGAGGCTCCGAGATCCACAGTTCTGAGGGCAGCGTGCTCCGGAGGGGGCCCTACAGGAGGGCCAGGGTGAGTGCCCGTCCCCGCTGCCCGGTCCCCTCACTGCCCCCGGCCCCCCCGCCGCTCCTCCGTGTGCATAGGCTGGCGCACCTGGGGGGCGTCCTCCGCTCCCACCCCATCCCTCCCTCTGGGCCCGCCCCATCCTGCCTGCGGGGCCTCAGGCCGCCTCGACCAGCAGGAGGTTGGGTTATGGAAGCAGGGCGTCAGGCTGCACCTTCTCGTTTCTGAAAGCGCGATGTGGGCCGCTCCTTTCTCCCCAGAGTGAAGTGAGTGAGGGCCGGCAGGGCCGTGGCCGCTCCACCGGGGACGAGGAGAGCCTGGCCGTCCTGCGGAGGTGAGTAGCCTGCCTTTCCCCCCAGCAGGTCTGAGGACAAGCGTGACCCACCGGATCTCAGCCCCTGGGGAGGGTCTGTACGTAAAGGAGCCAGAGGCGGTGGGACCAGAGGCCCGTGTTGTCCCTCCCTGAGCCCAGGGCACCCGGCTAGTGGATGCAGCCCCAGGCCACTCTCGCAGGGCCAGCCTCGGACCGCCCCCCCCCACCGGCCCTGTCTCCTCGGGACGGGCCCCTCCTGCCGCCCACGAGCCTTTCCGACCCTCCGCTCCACGTGCTGGTGCCGGGCATCACTTCTCTTTCTTGGTTTCTCCCCACCGCAACCCTGCGGAGGCTCTGCTCTCCCCACACCCGCCCTGGGCGCCCCGCATGCTCCAGCCCCACCCAGATGCCGGGAGAGTGTCTGTCCCTGCACGGACGCACTGCTGGGCTCCAAACTCTGGGCTGGGCAGGAAGGCACTGCCCACATGCTTCCCAGGCTGGCGGTCGCTCTCCCGCAGGGCCCCTGCCTGCCAGCCGAGCTGGATCGTCCATAGCTCCACGAAGGCAGCCTGCGCCCACTCTGAAACCCTGCTCAGACCCCACACTGCCCAGCCTCCCACGGGGACGTCCTCCCCCCCAAGCTCACGCTGCCCTCCCGCCCGCGGTGGAGAGGGAACCCGAGCCTTCCTCTCCCGCGACCCGTACCACCCTGTGCGGAGCACGGGCACTTTGAACGGCGCTGGGGCCAGCTGACGTGCTGGCTGCTGCCTGCTCCACGATCCCCACCCTTGGCTCCGTTTTCTGTGTGTGAAAACAGGAAGCTTGGTCATAGGCAGTTAGAAGGTGGTCCTGGTCCGTAAGGCGAGGTCTGAGTGGCCGGTTTGCAAGCCAGGCCCTCCTGGGAGCCCTAACCTGACGGCACATAGACGATCCCCAGAGGGTCGCTGCAGAGCCGCTGCATGCGGGCGGCCGGCGGGGCCTCGGGCACTTGGAGCCCAGGGCTCCTCGGGAGACGGTTGGGAAGCTGCTCCTGCATGAAAGCCGGCACCCATCCACAGGCACGTGATGAACGAGCTTCTGGACACAGAGCGGGTCTACGTGGAGGAGCTGCTGTGCATTCTGGAGGTGAGGGCGCCGGCGCCGCCACGCCGTGTGGTCTCATGGCCACGACACAGCTCTGCCGAGACAGCCCAGGGCTGGAGGCCACTCACCTGTCTGTCCGCGGGACAGGGGCGCTGGTTGCAGGTGCACTTGCACTGGGCCGTGTGTGCGGCAAGAGAGGGCAGCCGTGCCTGACCCTCCCTGGGTGGGGGGCAGTTGCCTGGGGGCAGCAGAAGGGCTTCTGGGTGCGGGACTGTTCTATCGTGGGGCGTGGGCAGTGGTCACAGGGGTGCGGACACAGAGATAACCCATCAAGACGCACCCACAGAACTTCTCCTCTTCATGGAAGGTGCACCTGAATTTAAAAAGGTTAAAAGGGAGTAGGATAGAACCACCCCCCAAAAAAATAATTGTTGCTGCTTCTAATTCACTCGTATTTCTGGTGCTGGTCCGGAGAATCACCTTAGATAGTCAGTGAATGAATTTGAGGTGGATTCGATTTCTAAAGCCTGAGACAGCGTCACTTCCCCGCTTGGCAGCCACGTGGAGACCAGGCTTATGCGGGGCTGATGGGCCCGGGCTCCCCCGCTGACCACTCCCCGCTCCTCAGGGCTACGCTGCTGAGATGGACAACCCTTTAATGACACATCTCATCTCGACGGGACTTCAAAACAAGAAGGATGTTCTGTTTGGAAACATGGAAGAAATTTACCACTTTCATAACAGGTCGGGCCCTCCCTCGGGTCGCCCACGGGCCTCAGGTTATGCTTTGCTGGGGGAGAAGATTCCTCCCTCCCTCTCAAGAGGGATAAGCGGACGGGCAGCGGGTTCGGTAGGGCGTGCCCAGGGTAGCTCCCTCGGAGGCGGTGAGTTACAAGGGGCCGCCCACAGAGGGAGGAAGCGGGAGCTGGCCCCCCAGGTGTGCGCACTCGGCCCTTCTTGGCGAGGCCCCTTGCCCAGCCCGTCTCGAAAGGACGGCAACACCACAAGTTCCTTCCTGCCCGCCCTCCCCTCGTGGGAGCGCCCGTGGCCTCTCTGTGGCTGTGGGGAAAGGGTGCGTGGTCCTCCTGGGCCCGCTCACCCTCAGCAGTCTCGGGGGCTCTCGGGAAAGATCCGCGGTGGGCAGACGTCTAGCAGAGGGAAGCAGATGGGCAGCACGAGCCTGTGGTCCTGAGGAAAGGCCGCTGTGCACGAGCCCCTCCCGTGCTGCCCGGCCCTCCCCTCCGCTGGACTCCAGGAGACACTGGGGCTTCTGTCTGACCACTTACTTTCGCCCTCTGTCACCTGCCGCTTATAAAGGAGGTGGCAGGTCTGACCTGAGCTGCAGCGGAGCCTTCCCTTGGGGATTAGAGTGAGCAGGTGGCCTGTCCCCCTGGTCCCTCAGCATCCTCGGCCCCGGCCTAGGGTCTCGGCCCATCCTCGGTGCTGGGGCCCTGGAGGGATTTACCCAGTGGACAGATGCGAGTCAGGAACCTAGAGGAAAACTCAGCCCGCAGGCTCAGGGGCAGTGCTTCGTAGAGGAGGGTCCCGGGGGCAGAGCCAAGATCCCTTACGTCTGCAGAAAACCTGCGGAGCACACGGGCTGTGAGGGCCTCGAGATGCTCCCGTCTGCTGCTGTGGACTCTTCCTCCATGTTGTGCTGATGGAGCATTTCCCAACTTCTGTGTGAGCGCAACACTGGAAACAAAGCATCCCCACGGGGCCACGGCTGCATGAACCTGAGAGTCTGGTGCAGTCGGGACCCCAGGAGGGACAGGCGTGGCTTCAGGCCCCGAAATCAGGTGGTGCGTCCTTGCTCCCACAGCCTCCGCGGCTGTCCAGAGTCAGGATGAGTGCTGTCCAGAAAATGACGTCTGATGGTTTGTGACGGATGCTGTCTTGTGCTGGTGTTGTTCATGTGATCTATTGCAAACTTTCTTTGTCTAGAATATTCCTGAGGGAGCTGGAGAACTACATAGACTGCCCAGAGCTGGTTGGAAGGTGCTTTCTAGAAAGGGTATGTGTGGCTTTAAATTCTGTCACAGTCTCCATCTAACCAACCGAAATCGCAAGTACAAATGTTTCCAGTTTGGCTGAGATGCTTTGTGGTAGGGCCAGAAGAATACAGTTTTGTCTGAAGCCAAATTAGTCCAAAAAAAAGAGAGACTATAAAGCATCAGCTTTGAGAGATGCCAGGATTATACAGCGTCTAAGTTTGGATTTGCAAGCGTACGGGTAGCTGACGCTCCTTCCTGCTGGGGTTGGTTTCGTGCTGGCCTTGCCGATCAGGACTCCCGCGCTCACCAGCTGACCCTGCACGGTCACTCGTGCTCTGAAGTTGTAGACGCGTTCTCCTTCCGGCGGGACGATCGCTAGTGTGGGGGTTGTGGCGAGGCTCTGGGAGCGGGAGGGGATGCGGGACGCGGGACGCTGTCTCCCCCGGCCCTGCTGTATGGACTCAGTAGCAGGGGGTTCACTTCCTTCCTCCCAGTAGTGAAAAGGCCGCCTTCGCAACGTAAGCCGGAGGCCGAGGCTCCTTGTCAGGAATTGGCGTCGAGGGGCAGAGGGAGGAAAGAAGGGGCCATGTTTGTGCCCCGCTCGGCCTGGCCCTGGGGAGCGCCTCCCTGTGCTCTCTGAGAATCGGGGCTGGGGGAGCATCGCGCCGTGGCTCGGGGGTTGTCGGCAGCATTCGCACCTCCTGGGGACCCGTGAGCGGAGCAGGCTCTCAGGCCGCCCCTGGCCTGCGGAACCCGGAGCTCGGGTGGAGGTGGCAGCCACTGTTTTATCCAGCCCGCTGGCCGTCTGATGCGCACGCAAGCGCGAGCACCACTGTGTAGCTGAGCCCTGGCGAGTCTTTCTTTACAGAGTCGGTGCTGGTCCTGCATTTCTTTTCAGTCTGTTATCTCTGAGGCCAAAGCCAGCCGTATGGACCTAATCTTTTATAAAAGAAGTACCCGGACTAGGGCAGCCCTGAGAACTGAACTTCTGGGAGGCTGTTACCTGGCTGCCCGCCAATGACAGCCGTGGCGTCTGAGATGGAGGGGTGACCCGGATTCGGGGGGAGGCCAGGCTGGTCCCGGAGGTGCCGTGCGTCCTTGCGCGGAGGGGCGTGACTCAGCGGCGGGGTCAGCCCACCTCCGGGCGCTGAGGTCCCCGTGAGCGCAGAGGCGCCCTGCGACTCGGCCCCTGTCCCGCTGCAGATGGAGCAGTTCCAGGTCTACGAGAAGTACTGCCAGAACAAGCCGCGCTCCGAGAGCCTGTGGAGACAGTGCTCCGACTGCCCGTTCTTCCAGGTGTGTCTCCTGGCTCCCTTGAGCGGGGACGTTCCTTTACTGCTTGACTCTCAGACAAGGGAGAGCGGCAGCCGTCTAAGGCAGAGGTTCTGGTGGTTGCAGGAATGCCAGAAGAAGCTGGACCACAAGCTGAGCCTCGACTCCTACCTGCTGAAGCCAGTCCAGAGGATCACCAAGTACCAGCTGCTGCTCAAGGTGAGAGGCCGGGCGGCCACACCTGGCCGGGCGTCCCCTGGAGCCCCCTCCCCGCCTGCCCCCCCCCCCCGAGCTGCACACCACTTAGTGGCGGCCGCCCCGACCCGTCCCTGAACCCCGTGGTCTCTGGGCACCTTCTTCCCATCTCTGCGAGGCCCTGGCTCTTCACACGCCTTTGTGGAGGGCCTGTTGTGCGCTGCCCATTGTCGGGCGTCAGGGACACAGGGGGCAACAGGCGGGCAGAACCTGCCCCACAGGGCACATGCGAGGCTGCCTGTGTCCTGCTGTCTTGGGGGCCCAGCAGAGCAGATCCCCGAGACCTGAGAATGGGTGTGAAGAGCTGTAACAGATGTTCATTCGGGGGTCAGATCAGGACGGAAGGAGTAATGGCTTAGAGGCGGGGAGACGGGAGCTGCAGCGGGGGTGGGGCTGGGTGCTCGCCCAGGCCAGGCACTGCGAGGGGCCTGCCCTTGCCCAGCTCAGGGACAAGCCCGATCTGCAGCTGCGAGGGCTGGGGTGTAGGCCCGCAGCGGCCGGGAAGGTGGCTTCCTGAGGCGCTCTGGGGCCAGCGGCTCGGGCAGGCCCCCCGGCGGGGGGAGGGCGTGAGTGTCTGAGTGCGTGTGGGGTGTTGTCCCCACCGGCGACGACTGCACAGGGAGCCACACACGGGTCCCGAAGGTCGGTGCCCGGGGCTGCCCAGGGCCTTCACCTGTGGGGCAGAGCACGGGCATCCCAGCTGCTCTCGGTGGAATGGCGGGGTTCAGTGTCCAGACGGGCGTGGAACCTCCCCCAGGAGATGCTGAAATACAGCAAGAGCTGCGAGGGGGCCGAGGACCTGCAGGAGGCCCTGAGCTCCATCCTGGGCATCCTCAAGGCGGTGAACGACTCCATGCACCTGATCGCCATCACGGGCTATGAGGTGAGGCCCCGACCCTGTCCTGCAGGGGGAGCCCACGAGCCGGCGGCGGGGCCTTAGGCCGTCCCGTTGCCAGCGTGGGTCCTACACGCGCACCCCCCAGAGCGCCGTCAGACCCGGTTCTGGCTGGGCCGCGGCCGCCCTGCACGCGGCTCACCAGCCTGTGCGGAAGCCAGGGCGCTTCACCCCGTGGCTGCACCTCAGCGCAGAGGCGGCTCCGAAAACACTTCCCTCCCTGTCTTTCCCTGAACCCGTTTTGTTCTCGGTGACTCGGCGTGTGGGCGCGACCGTGAGACCCCGCCTCCTGGCCCTCTGCACCCGCGTCAGGCCGCGCACGGTTCCTGTCGTCTCTGTAAATCCCCTCAGCACGCGCCTCTGTTTTTTCATTAATAGACTTTCTTTCTGGAGCAGTAGCGGGTTCACAGCAAAACTGAGGGGAATGCGCAGGGGTTTCCCACCCAGCCACCCCCGTCCGGCCCGCCCCGTGGAGTCGGGCGTTTGTCACAGCCGACGGCCTCCACTGGCATGTCGCCCAGAGTCCACGGCCCACGGCAGGGTCACTCTGGGGGTTTGGACAAACCGATGACCTGTGTCCCGCACGGTAGCGTCACACAGAGCAGCCCACTGCCCTAGACACCCCTGCGCTCCCCTGTTCATCCCCGCAGACCCCCTGCGACCCCCGACCTTTCCAGCACACCACAGACTTGCCTCTCCCGGGTGTCGGGCCGTTGGACCCCGCGGGGTGCAGCCCGGCCTCCCAGACGGGCTCCTCGGCCGCACCCGCTCTGGGCGCTAACTGCACCCCACGCCGCCACCTTTAGGGGAACCTGAGCGACTTGGGGAAGCTGCTGATGCAGGGCTCCTTCAGCGTCTGGACGGACCACAAGAAGGGCCACGCCAAGGTGAAGGACCTGGCCAGGTTCAAGCCCATGCAGCGCCACCTGTTCCTGCACGAGAAGGCCGTGCTCTTCTGTAAGAAGCGGGAGGAGAACGGCGAGGGCTACGAGAAGGCCCCGTCCTACAGCTTCAAGCAGTCCCTGAACGTGAGTGTGGCCGCCCCGAGGAGACCCCGGGGCCCCCACTGGGCTGCGACGCCCGCCTTCTGGAGCGGGGGGTGCCCTCGCCCGGATGCCCACCGCCCGCCCCGCCCTCACAGATGACGGCCGTCGGCATAACGGAGAACGTGAAAGGGGACGCGAAGAAGTTCGAGATCTGGTACAACGCCAGAGAGGAGGTGTACATCGTACAGGTAGGCCCCGCGCTCTCGGGCCAGGCTTCGGGCTCTGCCCAGCTCCCTAAGGACCGCCAGTGAGCGTCTTCTGCTGAAAGCTGCTGTCTAGAACCTTCGGAAAGCTCTCTTCCCCGGAGGCCAGGGCCCCGCCATTCGTGTGGGGCTGCCCTGGGCCGTCAGTAACTAAGCCGAGCCCGGGACAAGGTACAGGGACGCTGCGGGGCAGGGGTGCCCCAGGTGCCCTGCCAGGAAATGGGCTCCTGGTCCCGGGACGGCGCGGGGGCCCGGCCCGCCTGGGCCAGGCGTCCTCGCTGCCGCGCACGACCAGGTGCCTGCAGGGCGCGTGTCTTCCTCGCTCGCCGGTGATGGCGGGAGGTGGTGGAGTGTAAGTTCGCCCATGAGCCCGGGAGAGACCCCAGCCCGAGAGGGCGATCCGGCACTGGGAGGTGCCTCGCTGGTTGCCCTTGACTGTTCTGACGCCCTTGGCGGTCTGGGCCTGGGGGCCCTGGGGGTGCCGCACCACTGCAGCGTGGAGGTCCCGGTGACCTGCACTCTTCACAGCTCACAACACCCAGGCTAGCGCGGCCGGCCTAGGGCCCCACGGAGCTACAGCGGGAGCGGCCAGGGGCTCGGCCGGCGCCCCGGCTTTGCACAAGCCCAGGGTCCTCAGGGCCCAGCCGCCCGCCTGCACTGCCCTCGGGCCCTGGGCGGAGTGGAGGTGGGGCAGCAGCCCGGCCGCGCTGGTCCAGCTTCTGGTCCACTTGCGGGATGTCAGACGCCCGTCGTCCTTGTCAGCTAGGGAGACATCAGGGCCGCATCCCAGAGAAACACACTCTCGGGGCAGGCCACGTTGCAGGGGCTCCCACTGAGTCAGAGTCAGAGACCGTGCAGGGTGCTGGCGTGGGGTCCGTGCACCGGCGCCCGCGGGGCCTGCCCATCGCACCCTCGCCCGAGGGGGTGCCATCCCGCATCCCGAGTGTGGTGCCGTCAGCCCGGATTCTGAGGGTCCCGGGCGCCTGCAGAGTGAGACACTGACGCGCGTCCCTCGAGAACACACGCACTCACCTTCTGGTCTGCTTTGGGGGCACAGGCACCAACTCCTGAAATCAAGGCCGCCTGGGTGAGCGAGATCCGGAAGGTGCTGACAAGCCAGCTGCAGGCGTGCAGAGGTGAGGGCAAAGCCTCTGGGCTGTCCCCCGGGGGCCCGTTTATGTTCTGCAAAGCCTCCTCGGGATCCTTAGCCATCTGAGGCACCGCGTGTAGCACCTGGAGGGGAAGGTGCTGGATTCGCGTTCCTGAGCCACGCTGGGCTCTTGTCCCCGCAGAGGCCAGCCAGCACCGAGCCCTGGAGCAGTCCCACAGCCTGCCCCTGCCCGCGCCCGCCGGCACCAGGTGAGGCCTGGCCACGCGTCGGGGGTGTCACCAGTGGGAGCCAGCCCATGCCGCCGGGTCTCCGCGGCCCTGTCACCGAGCCTCCTGGTCATCGGGGTCGCTCTGGAGAGCGTCCCTGGGGTCACATGCTGGGTCAGTCCCAGCAGGTCAGCGTCAAGGCGTGTGCCTCTAGCCCCAGCCCCAGCCAAAGGCCCGGCCCGTCCGCAGCATCTCTGACCGTTTTCCATCCGGGCGGTATTTCCCATCACGATCAGTGTGTGGTGGGCGGCAGTTCCAGAGAGCAGTCCAGCATCAGCATTTCAGTGACGGTAGCGTCCCAGGTGGACAGGGACCCCGGGGCACGGGAGGCTCAGAGCCGAGCCCGAGGCCCATGGCTCGCAGACAGACACAGGGTCACATTTCACGCTGGCCTCATCGTACCTTTTCTGCCCTTATTTTTCCTTTGTTATTTTATTCATTCACTTACTTGTTTACTGTTTCTTATGTAAGCCACGTCTAATTATTCATGGTTGAAATAATAATGATGCTTTAATAATGATTAATGGTCTAAATAAATAAACCACAGAACAATAGCTTTAAAGGAGAAAGGGCCCCCCCAGGGGAAAGAAAACAACAACAAAACCTCCTCCTACTTAACAGTCAGGGAGGTGGGTTTTGTTCTCACTTGGCTCCGCCCAGAGTCTGGACATGAGTGGCCATGGCCGTGGCCCTGCGGCGGGAGACGCGCAGCCCGAAGGCCTGGGTAGAAGCTCAGGGAGGTCTCCACCCTCCTCCTCACAGACCTTTGAACACTAACCAGACAACAACATTCTTTTTCTTTTTCCACGTGTCTGATGTCATTAGTCCCTCTAAAGCGAACACAAAAGACGTCAGAAAGTTGGAAGAAAGAAAAACGGACCCGCTGAACCTGGAGGGATACGTGGGCCCCGCGCCACTGCCGAGGCCCCCCGAGAAGGACAGAGGTGAGTGTTGGGGCCAAGCCCGGAAGTGCCGGGAGCTGCATCGGGGGTCCGCGGCGGGCGTGTCAGGGCCTCACAGCCCCCGGTGGGCACAGGGAAGGTTCACGGAGAGCGTGGGGCCCGGCCGCCTGCACAGAGCACAGGGGCCTGGGCAGGGGGCCCGGGCGTGACCGCCTGCCCTCTGGGGCTGCCCGGCGCCCTCTGCACTGCCCTCTCTTCCCCGCAGATGACGCGGTCACTAGCTCTACTTCAGAAAGCTCTGCGCTTTCCAAAAAGCGCTTCACCCTGCAGAGCTTTGCTGCCCTCAAAGGTCAGAAAGGTAAAGGTGCCCGGCCCCGGCCGGTGGCGGGCTTCTGGGCGGGTCGCGCCCATGGCTGTCTGTCATCCATCCGTGCCGTGCTCATCCGTGGGGACGGTCTTGGGAGGGGCATCTGCCTCTCGCGTGGGTCACCAGGCACGCGTCTGCCGCTGAGTCGCTCTCTTTCCCTGACGCTGGCGGGTCTGTCATTTGTGCAGCCAGGGCTCTGTTTTCAGAGCCTTTTCTTTGCAGAGGTGGAGGTGAGCTCTTCTGACAGAGGCCCGCCTGCCAGGAGCTGGGACTGTCCTTTGCTTTTCTGGTCCAGCTCCTCCCTTTCCCGCCTTTTCCCGTGGGGTCCCCCCTGCCAGAGTGCGAGGCATCCACTTCCCTCTGGGCGTTTCTAGTGCACAGGCGGGTTCAGAACACCCGATGGAGGTCTCTAAAAGCTTGCCTGGGCTCCTGGGCAGTGAATATATGGGGGAAATACACCCAGACAGCACATGAGGCCAGCCCTGAGGTTCCAGGCGGGTCATTAGAGGACTCCCTTCCCGATTCTGAAAGCCCGTCTTGTCTAGAGGTCTTTTCATTGGTCCAAAAAATTGGAGGGTTTTTTTCTTTTTTTCCCAATTTATAAAATACTTTTAAGTTGACCTCAAACAAACAAACAAACAAAAAGACGGACAAATCCCGGTCCTTATACCTTGCTGGGTTTGGCGAGCATGCGTACTGGGCATGCTTTACGTGGAGCTCAGAAAACAAACCAAGGGGCCGCTTACCTAAAGCTACGATGCCGACGCAGGGCCATCACCCGCCCGTCTCACCCTCCTGCTCTCCGGGCCTCCCCTGGACCTCTGGGTCCCTCCGCCAGCTGAGCCGTGTTCCCGAGAAGCTGCTTTTTGAGTCACTGGAAAGCAGCCTGTTGCCACCGTGTGTGTCTCCCCCCAGCATGAGCTCGCCGTGTCTCCTGCCCCCTTGGTGCTCCGCTCGCTCCTCACTCCGTCTCTCCCGTTCTGTCTCTGCTCTTCCTCCTTTTGCAGCCTCTCCTACCAGTCCCGACAAAAAAGCTAAGCGACACCAAGTAAAGAGCGACCCAACGCCTTTTGGTTTACGAGGTAGAGTGGCTCCGCCTCCTGGACTAGCCTGGCGCCATTTCCCCATCCGGTTAGGGACCCTGTCTCGCCATCTGAGCTGCCCAGTGAAATAGGTCCCTCCCAGCCAGGAGCACAGTCACTGTTTTGTTCAAAGCCTGACGCTCCGGCCACAGGTACCGTGGTGACGTCACGCTTCTCGGTCCAAGGCCTCAGGCCAGGTGTGCCCAGAATGCGCAGAGCTGCCCACAGGCCACCAGGCGGCAGCTGACACCTGGCTGGTGCCTGGGCTGGGCTGGGCTCTCTTACTCAGTGGCTGCGGGGCTCCACGTCCCAGGCCCATCCTTCCTCACCGTTTGTCCCCATGCTTCTGGGGACGCAGACAGATGGGGTGAGGTTCTGTATTGGAACTCGGGCCTTTGTCTCTCTTGCCCTCATATTCTGAGGGCAGAGCCCCCCCCAGGGAAACCCAAAGCCCCCCATCTCCACCCGGCCCAGGTTGAGGGTCTAAGGCTCGCAGACAGGATTTCACTCTGTGAGCTATCCCACGCTTCCCAGACCACGTGATGGTGCTGCCGGGCCAGGTCCCGGCGCAGCCCCCTCGGCCTCAGTCCACAGGCCGCGCTGCAGGGACCCAGGGCTCTTCCCTGGGCAGCTGGAGAGCCCAGAGACCCACCCCTACCCCAGCCTGCACCCAGCCCTGCAGACGGAGCCCCAGGCACTTGGGAGTAGAATCACCTCCCCACCACGGTCTCCAGGGAGGGGCTGGTCTTGGCCATTTGTGTTCCTGCTTAAGGCCCAGAGGTGCCTGAGGCATCTCCCTGCTTTGCTGACTCTCCTTGTGTGGGAGGCTGCAGTCTACTCCCTTTGAGCCCAGTGTGTCACCTCTGTGAGCTCCTCTGCTCACCTGTGAGACAGGTGAGGTGACCTCATGTCCTGGTAGATGAGTGTTAGGGCCTTGAGCCCAGGCCCAGCTGCCAGCCCCCCTCCCTCCCTCCCCCTCCCTCCCCCTCCCCTCCCCCTTACTCCCTCCTCCTCCTCTCCCTTCCCCCTCTACTCCTTCCCCTCCCCTCCCCTTCCCCTCCTCCTCCCCCCTCCTTCCCCTTCCCTCCCCCTCCTTCCCCTTCCTTCCCCCTCCTTCCCCCATCCATCGGAATCACTTCAGTCCACAGCAGGTGACAGCGAGCTGCAGGCCGTCCTGGCTGGCACTCTTGAAAATGCCAAGTGCTTGCTTCCTGGAGTTGCATCAGCCCCTTGTTTTTTCAGTATCAGTGTCAGCGACTCTTTTACTGGAACGAGAGGTGACCGTATTCACGGTTCCTTGGCCTGATGTCCTCCTCGAAGCCCCCAGCATCCTACGTGGATTAAGAGCGGGCCACGGGGCTCAGTATCTCATGCTTATTCCCGTGTCACTGTGTTGACACAGGGTCCGTCCCACTTTTAACAGAAGGTCACTCAGAGGCCCCGGGCGGCCGGTTGTGACCAAAGGGCAGAGCCGTCTGTCCACGCAGCTCTAAAGTGAGGGTTTACACACCTCGTTTCCAGGGGCTGCCCCTCTGCCCAGGGAGCAGCGTCGTCTTTCTGCCTCCGCTGTCCCCCTTCGGACACATGCTTCCATTTGGCTGGGAGCCCTGTGTCTATCGGTGCTGGGCTGGAGGGGTGGACATTTGTGGCCAGCTGCCCGGCGCTGGGGCCCCTGGTGACCCCCACCCGGCGTCCGTCTGAGCTTCCCGCCCTGGGCGGCTACGGACGTGCCGAAGCAGGCGGCGAGCGTGGTTAATGGCTGGCAACCCACAGTCCCCGCTTCCCACTTCCTGCATGGATGCCAGCCGCCGGGGGCCAAGGGTCGTGCTCGCCACCCCTGCCCGGCTGGAGAGGCAGGGCCAGAGGGTCTCTGGGCGCCGGGCCTGGCCTGGAGCAGGGGCTCAGTGCTCTGCGGGCTGGGGGGGATCTCTGGGTCCCAGCTCCCTTTTCTGTGAAGACAGAGGCAGCTCCCTGACACCGCTTCAACACAAGCTTGTCACTGCCAGCCTTCAAAGTGTCGGCCTTGGGACAGCTGCCCCTCTGTCTGCACCCTGACTGCAAGGGGTGGGGGGACATGCAGGCATGCATTCTGCCCTTGCCCACGTGGTTCCCTCACTCCCTCTCTCCCAGGAGAAGGTGTGCTTCGGCCACACCGGATGGAACTGGGAACTGGTTCTGGATCCGCTCCCCTCTTGTCGAAATGCCACTTCACACGGAGCGGCGGCTGGGGTCCAGAGCCACAAGCGTGTGGCTTCGGCCTCCCGCTTCGCTCGTGGCACTTGCTGTATTTCTCCACAACGCACTTGCACCCTCCCCCAATGGGAAATGCAGCGGCTACTCTTTGGGGACACAGGGCAGTAGAAGGAATGTTTACGTAGTTTATAAAACCCGGAGGAAGCTTCTTCCCTGCCCGTGACCCGCACAGGGTGGCCCCCTCCCTGGCCTGGGCGCTCCTAGCACCCAGCATCGTGAGGAGCTGTTCTCCCGGCCGGCCGATGGGTGTTGAGAGTTGCAGGTGTTGATTAAAAATGCCTTTCCCTCGTCGTTTGCCTCGACGCGGGACGGGCGGGTGTCACCAGCTGTCCGGTGGAGGCTGGGGTTCGTTTCCGGCTGAGGAAGCAGGTGCTGTGGCCCAGGCCCCCTGGGCAGCTTGCACGGTTGAAGCGGAAACCTGCGGGTGTCCGGCCCGCCTTTACGCTCCGCTGGGAAGGGCAGGCTCCCCCAGCCGACACGTGTGGGTGGCGGGGACGTGCATAGGCTGCCCTCGACCTTGAGGGGGTCCTCACCGGGGCCTGGTCCTCTCTAGGTTGGAGCAAAACGTCTAACCCGCCAGAGGCTCCTGAGGACAACGACGGCTGGTCCAGTGCCGAGGAGCCGGTCAACTCCTCGGACGCAGAGGAGGAAGGGAGAGCAGGCCTCAGGAAGCTGGTAACCTTGGCTCCCACCTCATCCGCGGCACTGCTGGTCCCGGGGTCAGGGAGCCAGCAGTGCAGCTCAGGGGGCCGTGCCGCCTAGGGCTTAGGGAGGGACCTTCAGGTGCCAGGGCCCCATGGCTGTGTGCCCGCCCTCCTGGAGTTCTCACCAGACCACCTCACGGCGGACAGCGCACACCTCTGACCTGCCCCTCAGAGGAGCTTTCTTAAAGCTGCGTGTGTACCGCCATCTGTTTCAGAGAATCACACTGTCTGAGGTACGGACTTGCTTCCTAAGCAAAGTCCTGTTTTAGCACGAGCAGCAGAGGAAACTGTTCACATGTTAGTCATCAGAGCCAGGACGGTAGCAACAGTTACTTGCTGCCCGCTCAGTGCTGCCCTGGTCCACACCTGGTTTATCGCAGCGAGCAAAGCACCCCAGAGCTGGAGGGGTAGACACAGGTAACTGGAGGAGAGCGCAGGGAGAGTCTCGGGTGGCCAGGGCAGCCTTTCCCGAGGAGGCCTGAGGGTGAGAAGAGCCTGCCAGGGCATTGCGGGGCCAGTGGGGGAGCCTAGGCAGGCGGGCAGGGAGGCGGGCAGGGAGGCGGGTGGGCGGGCGGGCAGACCTGCTGGTTGCATTCCGCTCGCGGTGCAGCAGGAGGGTGCAAGGTGCTGCTCAGGGTGTCCAGAGGGTGCAGCTGCTCCCGTGAGGGTAACGGACACTGGCCTGGCTTTCCCTGCTCCCAAGCCTGGTGGCGCGTGACCCCTGCACAGTTCAGGGGCTCCCAGTCATGTGTCTCGCTGCTCGTGAGGCCGCAGCCCCACAATCCAGCAGAATGGCCTCCCCTTCTCAGAGTCCGCGTCGCGCAGCAGCTCCGTCCACAGGTGTGCTGAGCACCTGCTGTGTCAGGCACTGAAGGCAAACAGGGGACAAGGTGGACAAGAATGCCCCCTCTCCTGGGGTGAAAGACTAGTAAAAGGCAGAGCGTGTGCCCTGAGAGCAGAGGCGTGACCCAGGAAGAGGCAACAGCAGGTGCAAAGGCCCTGCGACCGCAGGAGCTGGGTGTGGTGTGAGCACTGGGGCGCAGCCAAGGGCACCGCACAGGCTGGTCAGGTTTAGTGGTCGCCACGTGAGACCGAGCGTCTCCCTGGACGAGGAGACCTTCCCAATGTAAGGCCATAGTCCCACCGGAAGCTCTGCGAATGGCAAGGCTCTCGTCCTTCCCGGGACGCTGGACGCTGGGCACCGGCAGCTGCGTGCCACGTGTGCCATGCGCCCTGCCGTCCCCTCCCCAGGTCCCCGGGAAGTACACCGTCACGGGGCTGGACGAGAAGGGGGGCCCCGACGCGCTGGTCCTGAGGAGCGGGGACGAGGTGGAGCTGGTGCAGGAGGGCGACGAGGGCCTCTGGTAAGACCGCCCGCGCGCCCCCGCGCAGCCCGCGCGCGCTGCCGCACCCTGACCGCGCCCTTTGCAGGTTCGTGCGGAACGTGAGCTCCGGCGGCGAGGGCTGGCTGCCAGCCCGCAACCTGTCCGCGCTCCTCGGCCAGCGCGGCGCCCCCGGGTGCCTGAGCAGCCCAGGTACGGGCCGCTGAGCAGCCCAGGCACTGCGGCGAAGGCGGGGCCGGGGGCGGGGCCAGGGGCGGGGCCAGGACGCGCGGCAGCCGCTCGCCTGCTTGTCCGCAGAGTCCAGCGCGGGGTCGGCCCTGCTGAGCGCCTCGTCCAGCTGCAGCGAGAGCTGCGCGGCCGCCCTCGCGGACCTGCAGGGGTAGCGCCGCGGCCACCCCGCCTGCGGCCCTGGGAGCTGGCCTCTGCTCGGGCCGGCGCGGCGTGGGGAGGGGCCGGCGCCCACAGAACCGCCCACGGAACCCCGGCGCCGCCGCGGCCCCAGACGAAGGTTCGGGAAGAGTCCGCCCTGCGGCCTCGGCGCCGGGACCGCGCGCGCGCGCCCCAGGGCGCAGGAAGAGCGCGGCACTGCGGCTTCCTCGGGGAGTCGGACGGACGGGGCTGCAGACGACAGGCCTCCGGTGCAGAAGGGCTCCCGGGGACTCCCCTTTGGCCTCGGCCGCAGCCGCTCCCCTTTGGTTTCTGACGTTTCTGGTCCGGTGCTTTCTGCAGGAACACGCGTTCTGTGGAGCTGCTTCCAAAAGAAGTGACCGATTCACTGACCCAGCGGCTTGGTGCGGGGGCAGGAGGCTAGTTTGTCTTATACACATTTTTTTTTTAAAGCAAGGATTAATTCTACGGCCATCTTTTTGGTGATACTTTGGCCTCTGATCTTTACCAAGAATCACTGTGTTTACGTGAAATGACAATTTCATACTGTATTTGATATAAAACTATTTTTTGTTACTGGGGTTTACATGGCGCTGAATGATTTGGGGGACACGCTCTCGTGGAAACAGCCCACCTGGTCACAGGTGAGTGGAAGGACATCCCTCGGTAGAATCAGGCAGCGTTTCTACAAACACAGGCAGTTAGAAACCAAGGAAATTCCTTCACCTGTGTAGGTTAATTTTCAAAGGAAAATGTGAACTA